TTTTTTGTTACCTTTTTTTTAGCCATCTTATTTGTAAAAAAAAAAAAAAAAAAGATCTCTATGCCTTTTTATAACTGTCTATTGTTGTTGTCCATTGTTGTCATCATTCTTTGTTGAAATCAGGTCTCTCTTGTAAATGAGTCCTCGAGGCTCAATGGGATTTACCTGTCTAAATAAAGGTTGAATGAAAAACTCCTCCCAAACATTTTCCCAGTCATGGTTCAAGCAGCGCACCACCTTTATTTATACATTTGTTAGTCTCATTGAGCCACGAGAACACTATGCAAGAAAAGGTGACGTCTAGAGAATATGAAACCAGTGAGCAGGTTCTTGCTTTAACCAAAAGCACGAAATTAGGAGAACCAATGTAGGCATGGAGGGCTTACGTGTAGGCAACAAATAAAAAAAAAACTTTGAAATAAAAAGGTGAATGATACTGAGATATTATTTACAAAGCCTATGGAGGAATTAAAACATCAAATCTATATAAGCTAAGTGAAGTGTAAAGTTGGTTAATCTGCAATACATCTCACCAGACGATATATTTATTTTGATTGATGGCACCACAGAAGCTTTAGACTGCACACTAAAGCTGAGCTGGTTACAGTGTTAATGGTACTTGGCTCACATTAACAGTATCAGAATATGTTTTTATAACTGTGAGAAGAAAAAAGACATTTGTATTTTCATTTGCCTTTCATGTATAACTTTTTTTTTAACAGGGATGCAATCGAGAGGACAGAAACACTTATAACAATAATGTTACAGAAATGCAACTATACAAAAACAAATCAAAACTTTTTACAAATAGCTCCAAAGAAACATATAAATGGTTTGTGGGTGTTTCCCTGAAGTGCAAACCACAACTACATATTAAAAAACACAACAAGTTAAAATACATTTGAAAAATATCCTGATGCATGCTCAATAATCTAGGTGGAAAAATCTAAAAAAGTTAAGTAAAAAAAAAGAAATTGCAAACATTTTGTAAGTGAGTCCTCGAGGCTCAATGGGATTTACCTGTATAAATAAAGGTTGATTGATTGATTTGTAAAAGCACATTTACATTAGAAAAAACACTACTACATTTGTAAAAAAAAAAAAATAGTGTTTTTATTGTCAAGTATTCAAAGAAGCACAGCTAGCAAGTTAGCTAATTTCTATGTCATTGCGTTTCTAAGAGAAACTGAGTTCGCGTAATAAAAATTATTTGGCAAAAACTATTTTGAACCGCCTGCGCTTGTGGTTCACATTTCTGTCCAGCTGGTGGCGGTAGTGCGCCGCAAAGTTGACTCGTTAACTGCCAATAAACCGGAAGTAAGGAGAAGAAGAAGAAAAACCGACGAAGAAGAAAATCCACAGGCTGTTGTCGTTGCGGTCCTTTACTCCAAGACAACTGTATGCTCCAGAAATGATAATTTAATTACTTATACATGGTACGTTTATGTATATTTTTTATTAAAGCGTTTTGTTCGTTGCTTTTCCAGCAAAATGGCGGATGAGGAGGACGAGGCTGGCTTCGAGGAGGAGATGTTGGAGGACGGCTCCAGTGGCGGAGTTGATGTCGGCCACGGCAGGAGGAAGAGGCTCTTCTCCAAGGAGCTCCGCTGCATGATGTACGGGTTTGGAGACGACCAGAACCCGTACACCGAGTCCGTCGATATCCTGGAGGACTTGGTGATCGAGTTTATCACGGAAATGACCCACAAGTCCATGTCTATCGGACGCCAGGGCCGCGTCCAGGTGGAGGACATCGTGTTTCTGATTCGCAAAGATCCCAGGAAGTTTGCGCGAGTCAAAGACCTGCTGACCATGAACGAGGAGCTGAAGAGAGCCAGGAAAGCTTTCGACGAGGCCAATTACGGCTCCTAACTCACAACAGGATGCCTGTCACACATTTAGGAGGAGTGCTTCTTTTAATCGACACAACTTGACCTCTCCTCACTATTTTCTGTATTTTATTCCCACTTCAAAAGCCAGATTTTGTGTTTTAATGGCATTTGTCTTGTACAGAAACTTTACTGTCATGCTCATTTGAATAAAGTTACTTTCAGTTTGTTGTAAATAAGTGTTAGATTAATTTGTGCTTCACAAAGACAAATGATTTACAACTATAAAACAGCTACAGACTCGATGAGGATCATGTTTACCTCAAGCATGTGTTTGCAGTCACCGTTTTTAATTTTGGTCTGTAAGGTGACGAGAATTTTAAAAGGTATTCACACTTTCTCTGTCTCCAGATGTCAGTGTTGACGGGCCCATCACTACTTTCTGCCTTGTCCTTTGCCCACGGAACAAATCTTAGTCATATGAACTGCAAATATAAATTAATATACTGTGAATAACTCTTATTATTTGTTTTTTTGTTAAGTAAGTCAGTTTATTTAAAGTCATTTCAGGGCACTGAACAGAAACATTCATACATATTATGAGTGAAGTGCTCTGTTGGAAAAATATGAAACAATAAGACCTGTAATATAAGATGGAGCTAGGTTGTTGAGAGCTTTGTAGGTTAGAAGTAAGATTTTGAATTCAATTCTGAATTTGACAGGGAGCCAGTGGAGAGAAGCTAAAACTGGAGAGATATGAGACTAACCTGTATAAATAAAGGATGAATGAATATGATTAGAAGGATGTTAGAACTGCAAGTGTCAGGAAAAGCCAAAGATGAGATGATGATGCAGTTAGAGAGGACATGAAGGTAGTTGGAGGGAGGACAGAGGGAGATGAACTGTGGAGACTCCAGAAGAGGGAAAAAAGTAGCCTATGGCATATTCTCATAACTTTACCTGTTAAATCAATTTACTTGCAGAAAGGTTTAGGCAAACAACGTTATGTATAAATAAAATACATTCCATGAATAAAAAAAAAAAAACCGCACCATCTGAACTTTGTTGTGAAACCCATAAACCGGAAGTTGCTCCTTTATTTAGCGCTACGCTGTTTCCGGTTGTGTTACCTCGTCATGGCGAGTCGTAAAACTCCAAAACCAAACAGAGGCAACGGGAACAAGTACTCAGTATTGTTACCTACGTACAACGAAAGAGAAAACCTGCCTCTGATCGTGTGGCTCTTGGTGAAATGTTTTGGGGAAAGGTGAGTTTCTGTGACGCTGCTCGGCTAATGCTAGCTCCCGTTAGCATCGATGAGCTGTCACTCACTGGACGAATGAACCGTTCAAACCCGTCTTCAGGTTCGGTGTAGTGTCGGCCCATATGAGCCACACTGTTCATACAACAGTTGAGACTTTTTACGAGACATACTGGTGTTGTGTTGCACCTTATTTCGTCATCACAGTTGCTAATAAACAGCAATGTCAGTGTTTTAGGGGGGCCCAAAGTGGGGCCCGCGGGCCAAAGTTGGCCCCCAAGCTGTCCTCATTACTATATTAAAATTTCCTTTGAAGGATCATTGTGTTTACATTCATTCCAAGTTTAATGTTAGATGGAAAGTTGGCCCAATGACAACTGTAATGACTACACAGCTGGAGATTTGTGCATGAATTATTTAATAATTTATATTTTGGTTTGACAGACTCAATACTGTGTCTCAGCAGTTTCTTGCTGCTGAATAACATTTCTTTGACAAAGCTGAGCATCATGTAGGTGCCCATCACACACCCTCCTTGAGCACCCCTAAATTTAAACTCCGCATCTCTGAAAAATTAAGAAACCGTCGTTAGGATTTTTTAAGGAAGCAGTTCTCAAACCTTAGATTCACCAAAATATTGAATAAATGTTGGATAAATGACAACAGTCTCAAACGGGCCAGTAAAATCTCTCTATATTTTTTTTTACGAGTCCCGCCACCTGTCAATCAGTCCAGTAGGCTCGTCGGCAACTGACCAGTTTGTCCCGAGTGAACGTCCCTTACCTGCAGAGCTGCAGCTGTGTTGCATTAAGAACGTTTGCAGTCAGAGATTTCAATAATAACAGAGTTGACATGTTTTGTTTCATGTTAATCTACAAATAAACCTTTGTAAAATACAACAAAATGCAGAAAATGGCATCTACTTTATTCAAAATTCTCTGGTGGAGGACCCCCCAGAGCCCCCACCACCACCACCACTGCAGCCTGTTCTGTAATGTTCTTTATACAGAATGGAAGGATAAATAACTGTATAATAAATAAATGGACTTTACTTAAATAATTATTTGCATTTCATGTATTATATTATTGCATTTGACCGCAGCCCTCTGATAGATTTTAAGTTTGACCCTTTCAGAGAAAAGGTTTGCCCACCCCGGATTGAATTATCTTAAAATTAATATTTCTTCTGAACAAATTAGGAGCTTTATGTCCGTGTAAAGAAACCTTGAGCGAGTTTGTAACGCTAAAGGATTAAACTAGACCAGATCAGGAGACTGCAACAACAAAAACAAACAAAAAAGTTTTGAAAATAATTAGTTTAGAAAAACGTGTCCAGTGTAAGATAACACTGGTTTATTTATTGAGCCTAGTGTAAATGCAAAATAAATAAGTAAATAAATTTAAGCTGTGAAATTAGTTATGGAAATCCATTTCTGCCAATCTGAGGAGGAAAAACAAGATCCAGTAAGGCCTAATTAGAGATGCCATCACAAAGTTATTATGACTTGACATCTCATAATTATGACCTGGGATCTCAATTATAAGATCTTATTCCAGTATTTTGTCTTAACATTTTAAAATTATTACAGTCTGGTGTAATTATGATATATGACTGAACATCTTGTCATTGCTGCAAAATCATATTTTTGAGAGAGAATCTCATACTTCTGAAAGAGTATTTAATATTTTAGAGGTACTAAAATATAATTTTGCGATAGTATCTTACAGTTATGAAACATTACGTTATAATTTTAACAAACTAAGTCATAATAGGAGTTCATAGGAGGTCAACGCTGTCCTTTTCTTTAATTCGTTGCTCTTACAGTGAATATGACTACGAGATCATCGTCATTGACGACGGAAGCCCAGATGGGACACAAGAGGTGGCAGAGCAGTTGCAGAAAATTTACGGGAAAGATAAAATAGTAAGTCATGATGTAAAACCCTGGATGTGTAGCTGATTATCACTAGATTCTCAGAACAAAATGTACAGTATGTTGTGTAAAAATATATATTTTTTCCAGTAACATCAAATCTTACCTTAACTCTAGTAATCTTTGCATATGGTGGACGCTGAACCAATAATTGTTGAGTCTTTATTTTCCAGCTTCTAAGGCCAAGGGCAAAGAAACTGGGCTTAGGTAAGTTGTGTAAAAATGTGTGTTTTCACTTTATAACCTCCACCGGTCGATGACGGTGTCCTGTCTTGTTTTAAAGGCACCGCCTACATCTACGGCATGAAGCACGCTACCGGGAACTTCATCGTCATCATGGATGCCGACCTTTCCCATCACGTGAGCACAGGGTCTGCCATTTTCTGGCATAACGTCACGATACAAACACATAAATCGGTTATTAATGTTGTTGTTGTTTATCCTGGAGAAATAAATGTTCTTACTGATCCATCATTTGACATAAAATATCAGAGAAAGGTGACGTCTTCCAGTTGTTCGTTTCATCTACAAAATGGTTTAAAACTCCAAAAATATTCAATTTTTTTTATTTTCTTTGTCAACCCTCTTCTCCACGTCTACTCTATAAATTGTGGAATATAACAGTTTCAATGCTTTTTTTTTTCTCAGCCCAAATTCATCCCTCAGTTTATTGAGTAAGTACTCCGGTCTTTGCATCCTCAGAATATTCAAATTATTTATAAATATGCATAGTAAAATATAAATGTGTCACAAATTAAATTTGTATCGTTCATGTATCTTTTAAAATATGACTTTCCTTCTTCAGGAAACAGAAGGAGGGGGATTATGATCTTGTGTCTGGTACTCGATACAAAGGGGATGGAGGAGTTTATGGTTGGGACCTGCGCAGGAAACTCATCAGGTATCGACTAACTTTATTCACGTTTTCCATTCCTTTACTGTCAAGAAGCTGATAATGAATATTCATTTTTATTATTATGGTATAGTCTCCGTCTGTACGTACGCATGTCTATAAACCTGCTCTTGTACCGCCTATTATCTTCGATCCACTCAAGATAGTTTATAAAACTTCATACACGTATGCGTCGTTACTTTTTATTTTTACCGGCTCCAAGGTCAAAGTCAAACGTTATAAAATGTCTTTACTTGTCCGGGTCATTACTATAGATGCTTCATTGTTGTATAATCGTTTGCAGATTGTTGTGCTGTTTGCCGTACTCTTCTTCTCTTTTGTTCGTAGTCGAGGAGCAAACTTTTTGTCTCAGGTGTTGTTGAGACCGGGTGCTTCAGACCTCACAGGCAGCTTCAGGTAAGAGATGCCGGTTTGAGTTTTTAAAGTGTTGGGGGACAAGACTGCGTTTGCTCAACGTGACGTGCATTTTTCTCATTTTCATTAGACTGTACAAGAAAGAGGTGTTGGAAAGTCTGGTGGAGCGGTGCGTGTCCAAAGGCTACGTCTTTCAGATGGAGATGATCGTTCGAGCCAGACAGCTCAACTACACGGTTGGAGAGGTGAAGTCCCACGCTTTTAATTTTTTTTTACTCTGTAACAACTTTCCTGTGCAGCCTTACAATATTTTCTATCCATAGCATTGGTGTTTCCAGACTCAATCACCTGTTGCATCGTCTAGAAACAAAATACATCAAAGTTTCTTAACTTTACTTAAACATGGAGAGTATTTTTTCACATACTAAATATAAACATCACCATAATGTTCACTTTGATTTTATGTAGCAATTGAATCGGCAACTTTCAGAAAGTGAACTAGAGGACAGAGCACCGTCTATGTTCTATATGTTGTCATTAAGAAACGCGGCTTTACTGCTTTAGTTTCAAGCTGAGTTTAAGTTTAGTTTCAAATATTCGAACATTGTAAAAGTGTTCATGAGTCTGATGGCTGTAGACTGAAGACAGAGCGTGAACGCCTCCCTGTGGAGAGAAGAGGGAACAGATTCTGTGCTGTGTGGCCGCCGTCCTGCTGCGGATGGTGGAAAATTAGAGGTGTATTTTCTTATTTTTGTTTCATATTCATCTCAAATCATCAGTGGGCATTTTAGTTTTGTCTGCGTTCAGGGTCTAGTTGTTAGAGGACCAATGTGACAAGTTATTTCTTCCATCTCTGAAAACTGTTACTGTTGAATTTCAGCAAATTTAACAATAAAGTTTGAAGGGCGATTAGCAGCAGTGTACAAGCAGCACAACAACACTGACGGGCCCGGTACTTTACTCACAAGCATGGATTTTGAAAAGCTACTGATTAAAAAATATATTTTTGGGGCAAAAACTAAAAAGTTGAAATACAACAGACCAGTATTTTATGAATACTTATTTGAAGGAGAGAATCGTCACAAGATATGCTGTAAAGTCAGTCGAGAAAATGTAAAATTTTAAAGGAAACCTTTTATGTACAGAGAATAAAACTGCACCAGTGAACAAACACTTTGAATTTACACAAATTTTGATGTCAGAACTGGTTGAATATCTAAGAAAATAAATTAAAATGTATGTATTTGCATTCACAACAAGTATGAAATTTCAAACTGGAAATGCCTTCAAGTCAGATTTTAATTTCTTTTACTTTGCTATTAGATGCATTGTTTTTTTTATTTAATTTTTTTGTGCTGTTTCCGCCATGACACCTAATTTGGTCTCACGTTTTTATCTTTTAGTATTGTTGAAACATAAAATAATTATTTATAGAATAAAATAAATGTTTTTCAAATCGTCCATTAAGTTTCATGCCTTAATGTCTATAAACCAAAACTAATGAGTCAAATTTACCCTAAATTTAAAACAAAACATGGGAACTATAATATGTTACAATAATTAAAAATGGGTGCTTCATCAGCTTTTTTCCCCCTTTCTTCTTTTTAATATTTGATAAAAAATAAATAATCACTTTTAGAACCACAATACCAACTTAAGGTTCAATCTGTGCACAAAATCTCAGCAAATACACAACACCTCTGTTTCACAGAATTCACATCACCTGCTTTTATTGTCCTGTTAATTTATGAAAGGACTAATCAACAACCCTTGTTTTCCTCTGAACCACAGGTTCCCATTTCCTTTGTGGATAGAGTTTACGGAGAGTCGAAGCTGGGAGGGAATGAGATTGTGTCGTTTGTGAAAGGACTGCTGACGCTCTTCGCCACGACGTGACCCACGAGGTGCTTCGTGGGAAACATCCAGCTCGATCCTAGCGTTTCTCTCACGCTCCCAAGTTCGTGTTTGATACAGAGGTCGTACCAAAGGGAGAAGGCGTTGTCTCTTTTCAGTTAACGTGTAGTAAAATCAAAAACGAGAAGGAAAAGTTCGTTAGCGGCTAAATAATGTGAAATCTTCTCCTGCCAGTAGCTCTCAGATTACCAAAGAGAAACATTCCCGCCCTCCTCTTTAATCCAGTTGAAGCCGCATCATTCCCAGAATGTTGAGTGCGGTTTTCACGTGGGTTATTGTTTGTACAAATTAAAAAGTTTGTATTACTGGCTCTATTTTTTGTTCTTGTTGTGTTTACCACGCGCCAACCTTGATGAAAGTCTCTTTCCTCAAAATTCCACACACATTATGACGATGTGACGAAATAACTTTTGAGGTTTTTGCAAATTTATTAGAAACCGATAACTGAGAAATCACATTTACGTACGTGTTCACTGCCTTTGCTATGATGCTCGAAACTGAGCTCAGATGCCTCCTGTTTCCACTGATCATCCACCTGTGGTGAATTCAGCTGACTGGACTAGATTGGGAAATGTCCACCTGTCTATAGAAGGTCCCACAGTGGACAGTGCATGTCAGAGCTCAAACACCAAGCATGAAGTCAACGGAATTAACGATAGACTTCCGAGACAGGATTGTCTTGAGGCACAAATCTGGAGAACAATACAGAAAAAACTGCTGCTGCTTTGAAAGTCCCAGTGAGTCCAGTGGTCTCCATCATTCATGGAAGGAATTTGGAACCACCCGGATTCTTCCTAGTGCATGTTAGCTGTCTAAACTGAACGATCGAGGGGAGAAGGGCCTTCGTCAGGGAGGGGACCAAGAACCTGATGGTCACTCTTCTCAGAGCTCCAGCGTTCCTCTGTGGACAGAGGAGAACCTCCCAGAAGCACAACCATCTCAATCTGAAGATTAAAGTGGTGTGAATGCCAGGCGTCATGTTTGGAGGAAACCAGCTCATCACCAGGACAATACCACCCCTACAGTGAAGCATAGTGGTGGCAGCATCATGCTAAGGGGATGTTTTTGAGCAGCAGGAACTGGCAGACTAGTCAGGACCGAGGGAAAGATGGATGCAGCGATGTACAGACCTCCTGGATGAAAACTGCTCCAGAGTGCCCTTGACCTCAGTCTGGAGAGACGATTCATTTTTTCAGGACAATGACCCAAAGCACATGACCAAGATCTCAAAGGAGTGGCTTCAGGACCTCTCTGTGAAGGTCCTGGAGGGGCCAAGTCACAGTCCAGACTGGAATCTGAGTTAACGTCTATGGAGATATCTGAAAAAGGCTGCTCAGACATCCAACCTGATGGAACTTGAGAATTACTGCAAAGAAGAATGGGACAAACTATCTAAAGACAGATGTGCTCATCTGGAAGCTTATTATTCAAAGAGACTGGAAGCTGTGATTGATGCCAAAGGTGGATCAACTAAGTGTTATGCAAAAGTTGTGAATACTTACTGTATGCAACATTCACATTGTCATAATGGAGTATTGTGTGCAGAAGTTTGAGGATTTGGAATAAGGCTAATATAACAAAATGTGGAAAAAGTGAAGGGCTGTGAATGCAGATTGCCACAAGGACTGCGGTCTGAACCTGCACATCTTTGTGGCTTTGACCAAAAATACATTAAAATAAGACAAGAATCATATATATATATATATATATATATATAGCCTAGTGGTACATTTGTAGTTCTCTTGTCCAGCTACTGTATGTCTAAATAAAATGTCTGTAACAGAATGCTTTTTTTAACCTTTATTTATACATTTTAGTCTCATTGAGTCACGAGGACTCCTTTTCAAGAGAGACCTGTTTTAGACAGATAACGTATAAAGTACAGACAACAATAATTCAACAAAAAGCAATTTAAAATCAAAACTAGTTATAAAAACAGTCAAATCAAGGGGCCGTATAAAACAAGGTAAAATACTAAAAACATCATATACTTTGCCACCTTGGAGAAAAAATACAATTTGTCCCAGTATGATATTAGCTGGTTTGCCAGTTCATTAACATTTAACCACACAGTGTAGATTTTCGCTGAGATTAACTTGTAAAATTGGCGTTTTTAAACACATTTACACCATTTTAACTGCAGTTTTTCAAACATCACTGCTATCATATTCTGGAGCTCTGCAAAACTATTGCAAGTCATTCTTGAAATTTAATAATGTGAAGCGAAAGGCTTTCATTAAAACTTTAATGTTTACGTAAACGAGGGCATCGGCTGTTATGAGACACAATCCAGTGAGTCAGAGTGAAATATCTAAAGTGATTTTTATGTTTTATATTGGCACCTGCAGCCTGCAGGTAAATATATGACATTTCATAAAAAGTAAATATCATCAGTCCTGTCAGTAAATACAAATCAGTGCTGATGAACATATGAATATACTTCTTAATTTTCCACAAACAGAGGCTCCATACGCTTCCATAAATTTATGGTTTAATTTAATTAAAGGCTGTCGTCATTAGAGAGTTGGTCTTTTTCTTTATATATAAAAAAAAGAATTATTCACCTCAGACAAACTTATTTGTGGTATTTATATACAACTTAATTAGTTGAATGTCCAGAGGACCAAATTTAACTTTTTTAGATTTTTCTACCTGGATTGTTGAGCATGCATCAGGATACTTCATTAGTTACGTTGTTCCATTTTTGTGTCTATTTAAATTTTCAAAAAGGCTTTGTGTCTGAAGCAATTTTATTTCAGTTTTATTAACATGTTATAAACAATAAGACAAAATGAGAAAAATAGTCATAATCAACAAAGATAAATTCTAGAAATTACACTTTCTTTGAAATAGAGCAGCTCAATACCTTTGAGATGGAATAGTAAACTAAAAAATGACCAAACCGCACCCTTCATACTAAATTTCTCTTTACTTCAATGTCTATAAACATTTATTAATACGTTTGTTTTATCTCTGTCGTAATTTAACATAAACTAACATAATTCACTTTCTTCTTGTCATATAGATGCACAAAATGCACATGCGCATATGAAAATGTATTTATACACACGTTTGCCCCACATTTCCACACAGTAATCTAGAAATGGTATGATGAGTGAGGATAACAATAACTGTATTGATCTGTAATTCAAGAAGTGATTTGTTCTACAGTACTTAAAATTGACATGATTCATTATAATTGATTTCCAATTGGTTTTGGGATTTATTTTAACACCTAGAATACTTACTCATGCACTCCTTCATCGTTTACTTCAGTATTTAGTAAGTATTTAGTGGTGAAATGGGCAGGAATGGCTCCTGAATGTAAAGATTTCAAACCCCTGCACAAGGAAGAACAGGAAAGTAGTCCCGGCTGCTATGGGGCAGTTGAGGGCCACAGCACCTCAGATTACAGCGCCACCTAGCGTTGGCTTTGCCTCTAGCTGCGTGCTGAGGCACTGTGCACATCCGACTCCGCAGGGGAGGAGTAACCGGAAGAACGCCCGCTGTCGGTTTGTTCACGTAACTACTACGCGGGGGTTGTTTACCCCACGGAGGGGAACTCTTAAACTAAAACCCGCTGCAGGCTTGAAGGTACGGCACAAGTGCGTTTTTATTTTTTATTTTTAAAAAAATTAGTTGACCAAACTGATTGACAAACCAATTAGGAGTTTTTCCGACGCGGGTAAGGGCGGATCTCACAATGAGAAAATTTATGCTAATCAAGTAGATGTCACTTCCGCTTCTTTGATTTGCGCCATTTTGGATAGGGCATTCAGCGGTTTGGATGTGTTTTTGTCTGTCAGAGGAGAATGAGTAAAGGGAAATGCGCTGTCAGGGAATTACAGACGAGAGTTGTGTAAATATATTTCCAACAGTAAAGAGCGCAACGGTTGTTGCAGGGTGTTCACCGCCCCCGGCTGTGGAGGTTTTTAACCGCCTGCCGAAGCTCTCTGCTTCCGCTTGCCGACCAGAGGAAAGAGGATAGCCCTTGTCGCTAAGAAGCTGTCGGGGTTGGAAGGTACACCGACGGACGACTCGTTCTTCCTCGCAAGCCACCTGTGTGGAGATCCACCGAGCTATCCGTGCGGGTGAAAGTGTCAGCACGACGGACTCGGACATCTCGAGGTGGCGCGTTTCACTCCGGCGGGAGGTCTGGATGTAAAAATCAGGTAAACCTGGATGTGTGCCGGGGAGAACACACAGATTGTTGGCTGTTCTCGTGCCTACCTGCGTGACTGTGATGGGTGGCGGTGGCTAATAATGTTGGTGTGCCGGGGGCGTGGGGGTGTAAACACAACTCATGTTTTATAAATCAAATATATATATGTATATATTAAGATTAAAAATGGGAGCATTCGTTTGGACAACCCATGATGTTGGTAGTTAGCTTAGCATGTTAGCTCAGCGCGGGGTGCCCCCCCCCCCCCTATTCTTTGTCAGTTGCAGCAGCTTTTTATCAAAATGTTTGACTTCTAACAGATGTGTTGTTTTGATATTTTAAAGTTAAATCCACTAACTCTACAAATTGCAGCACTGAGCCTGCCAGTGTTTCAAAATAAATATTGGAAGGCGGTGAGTGACAATGTAGCTACACCACAGTGTAAACAAAGTTCACATTTAAACATCAGTGAATGTGGTGATGTATTTGTGAATTAATGGTGGTTGTTTATGTTTCAGCGTCATAAGATGTAATCAGCCAGGTGACTTGAGGTGTGCACTTCTCCAGAGAGGGGAGTGCTGCCATAATCAACATCAGCAGACGCCCCTTTCACCTTGTTTTGTTTTTTTCTATAGACAGGTGTTGAGCCTTAGAGGAAAACCTTATTGCGTTTACAGCATCCCAAACTGCTTCTACCATTACAGTGAATGTAAGAAGTGTCTCCCCTTGGTAAATATAAACACAAGCTGATATTGGTTATTATTCAGGTGGAAGAGTGAGCAAACGTTAAAGGTTTCAAGGCCTGTTTTTCTTTCTGTTTAGCTCCACTGCAGAACGGGAAACCGGTTTTCTTCCAGCAGCCCTCACCACAGCAGAACAGAGCAGCCTCCTCCTGCGTTTCCTCCCTCTCCTCTTCCCTCTCTCACTCCCTTCCTACTCCTTGCCCCCCTCCCCCCCATATGTCGCCCCTTCTTTCGCTCACCCTCTTCCATGTTCTCTCCCTCCAGCCTCCCTTTCCTCCCGTCCTCTCTCCTCTGTGTCTGTCTAGCTGACCTCTTTGCCTCACTCCCTCCCCCTTCCCTTCGTGGCTCACTCTCCTTTCCTTTCCTCTCATCTCTCCCCTTGCACTCCTTCCACACTCGCCCGCTCACTCCCCCACCCCTTTCCTCCAAGCTCCCTCACCCCCTTTGCTTCATCCTCTCTCACACTCCCCCTCCCCCTATCCCAGTCTCTCTCTCTCTCTCACTCCTTGTGTCCCTCCTCTTCCTCTCCTCCAACATCACTCTCTCCTCCCTCCCCTGTGCTGCAGATATATTGTAGGGGCTGCTGCTTACTCAATAGGAGGCGCCATTCTGTGATGGTATTGCAGGCAGAGAGAAAAGGGGCCAGGCAGAATATAGGAAGGCTTATGTAATGGGAGTCCTCTGCAGCGCCATCTACAAGTAGGGGAGGGAAGCAGGGGAGAAAAGGCAAAGAGGGGACATGGATAGGGGTCTGTATCTGTCACACCAGTGATTGCATATTTTCTTTGGCAAGACAGTTGTACAGAAGCATGACAGTTAGACCCTCACTGGAGTCCACCTCTGATTTTGAGACAAACTGAGGCCACACACACGTTATTTTTTGTCATGTTGCTTGTTGTTGTGCACTTGAGACCTTTGACCTTTCTACATAAAGATTAATTTTAAACAAAGGACCTACTGCTTTTTGAAAAACAACTGAAAAAAGTTTGACTTGGCAAACATGAAATTTACAGCAGGATAGGCTGTTTGGCATTGGCAGGAAAAACTGGGCAAGTTTCTACGTTTCTCTTGGATGCAACCTACATACTCTACTCACAAATTCATTTTCCTAACAAATGTCACTATTAAAAGGGAAGTAAGCCGGCTTTTCAGTGATATAAAATAAAACCAACAAGCATTCATTGTCATAATGAATTAATGAACAAAACATAAATTACTTTACTTTTCGTGGAACGTTTACATTCAGATTGTACGTTAGCAAATTACGGTCACCTAGCAGTAAGTCATTCAAAGTACTGCATTGTTAAGGAATTGTTTTGACAAATGAAATACTGAAGAAACCTTCAGTGTTCTGGATAATGCACAGTTGGTTAAGTCTGGAGATGGGCTCGTGACTGGAAATGCAAAAGCAGATAATTTGGCTGCAGGACACGATGCAAAAAGTTGGAGGGAAACCTTGTTTACATCTTTCTAGAAACTTTCAGTAAAACTTAACGGCTTGTTTGGCATTTATCCATACTGATGGTTTTTCTGTGTATTCTAACAAGTGCAAGGCTAAACACAGGTCAGCAAAAAATAATGAGATCATTAAAGTATTGGCACAAGACCTGCGCAATGGACCATCCGTGATCAGGTTTTTGGTTAAACCTTGTTTCAGACGTACTTCTGTACCTTTTGAACTGTTATTCCCAGCGTAGTCTAAATGTTTCATAAATATGAAACAAAAGAAAGAATAAAACTGCTTTGTCTTAGGCTGCTAGTAAGAAAATGCCTCAAACACAATTTAAAATGGATACATTTATATATCCGTTTTATAACGTCTGTTGTAATAGCTGATGAATAATATCATCTGTGCAGGTACACACTCAGGTCAAAGAAACCACTTTTATTTGCATACTTTACTCAACAAATGAGTGTAAATGTGTATCGATGCATCAAAAATGTCTGACTTCTCCATCTCTTTCGTGGTCGTTGCCATTGTTAATCTATTTTCAGTCACTTTGGTTGTTTCTGCAGGTAAACAAATGCAACAGAACACATTGAAAATGAACATCTGTGGGAATCTGGTCAGGTGGTGGACTGAAAAACACAATTTCAGTAACATTTCTGACTGATCTCTGAGCTTTCTGGCAGTGTTTATACCTGAACTTGTGCTGTGTGATTGAATTATATAAATGTGCTTATTAATACCAGGTGTCAACACTCTTGAAATTTTCACAGAAAGGCCAAAGTTTTCAACCTAGAACCTACAGGGGTGCACCATAAATATGTGTATTTTAAGTTATTATCAGTGACTGGATGTAGCTGCTTTTGTTACTTGGTTCTGTATTTTTCATTATGGCACTGCCATGATATATTGACACTTGAACAGCAGAGACATAAGTGATGGCGTCATAATACCTGTTCTTATCTTGTCAAGTCGATATGGCTTTTGTGCAAATTACTTTTTCTAATGGAAATGTTTTTATTGTCCCTTTTCAACAAAAAGGTGAAGTTTGCCTTTGTAATCTTGTGTGAAGTAACATTTTTACTGAAGTGACTCTTGTAACAGAGGTGGAAATGATTATCTGTCTACAATAGTGGGTTAATTATTCGAAGCAGTCGTCTCTGAATCTGAATGCTAAAAGACTTTAATGTGTAGCTGAGTGTCTGACACACCTTTTCAGCTGATCTTTCCCTTCAGCTAATACAAATTAAGTGCACAAATAGTAGTTTTGAGGAAACTTTTAACTTTATTCTTTGTTAGCAGAAACCCCTCCATGCACAATTTAACATGTATGTGTTTTTAAACCCAGGTAGGCAGAATGTTCCAGCTCCCCGTCAATAACCTCACCAGTCTACGGAAAGCAAGGAAAAATGTCAAGAAGGTCCTGGGAGACATCGGCCTGGAGTTCTGCAAAGATCACTTGGAGGTGAGCGTGCTCGGAGTTTAGGGGTTTATAATTGTGACCGTATGACTTACCGGTACTTTCCTTTGTGTTCTTTCGTGGCTCTCTCATCCTGAGTTGATCTTCGGGTTTCTTTAAGGTGTTTAACGTCATTATGACGTTTAACTTTTAGACGTGGATGACTTAGGACTGTAAATTTTTATGTATAAAGTAAAGATTTAGATGGATGTCTGTCTTTGTTTAAATTCATAAACGGGCTCCCTGAAGTATAGCACATTCTGTATTGTGATCACCCACACTAAGGGTGGTGGTCTTTGGGTACCAGAATATGATTCAGTTACAATCCAGAGGGCTGCTATACATTTGTTAAACGATTATCGATTGATCTTTTGTTGCATTTGTAAAAAAAAACATTCTTAGCATAGAATCTCTTGAATCTAAAAACAATATTGTATCTAACCGTGCAGTCTAAAACATTTTCTTCCAAATACGACTAGAGGAAGTAAAGGAACAAAAGGAGTCTAAGTGCCGAGTTCATTAGCATAAATTAATGTGGCAATGAACGCTGACGTTAGAGCTAGCTTACCTGCTTTCTTCAGTGGTTTCTTGATTTTTGGTTTCGTTTAAAGTGTCATGTTTTACCTTGGCTACAAAGTGCAACACATTGTGTATAAACCCTGATTTTCAAGAACTAAATGTGGACCAAAAAACCTTCGCAATAGAAGTTGCAGTGGATTTTGTAATTCTCCTTTTCTGTGTTTAGAGGAAACTTGGACAGTGCTCACTTGATCCTCTGTTTGCAGCGGCAACAATCTGCCACAGACTTTTTTTGTTTGTTTGTTTGTTGGTTTGTTTTTTTTCTCTTTCCTCCTCCAATGTCATCTTTTCTTTAACATTATAGAAGCTGAAATCTTAACAAAAGTTGGCTTTCAGTGTAAAAGGAGCTGTTTTTGTCTCTCAACCTTTTTCTTCTTGTGCAGCGTATGCCAAGTACAGTCCATGTGCTGCACGTTCATACCTCAGAGTTCTGCCTTTGGGTTCATTAACATGATTTTATATAACTCTTACCTCTGTATTTACATTCTTGTTCTTGGAGTTAAAACTTTACATGGTTCTTCATCAACTTCTCTAGATTTAATAAAGGCCAAGGCTCAAGCATCAGGACCTCTAGACTGGTCACACAAGATGCTGTTTGATGTCGTCTTAAAATAATTGTCCTTACATTTCCAAACATTTAGCAGATCAAAATAAATATTTATCACGTCCTCCGACATGATTCACAAACGATGATTTATAGGAATATTTAAATCAATCGGAAATATCTGAAGTGGAAGTTTAGGGTTTGTTTCCTATCTCTGGGTAAACGTGTATCCCCAAAGACAATAGAAATGTCTGAAATACTTTGAATGTGGAAGGAAAAAAAGTTTTTGTTCAGTAAGTTTTGACTGATTTGCAAAAAATAGAGAGGTGTTTTTGGCGTCTGGAATGTCAGTAAATGTATTTCAATATCTTTAAAACCCTACAAGTTTAATTTTCTGTAAATTCACGATTTTGGTACTAGCTATTCCCATTTGCAATTTTTTTTTTGTTATTCTATGTGTTTAATTGTGTACATGCATTCAATTTTCTCTTTTTCTTCTAGGACTTTAATGATTTTACCCCTCCTGAAGTGTATATTAAGCACACAAGCTGGGAGGATGTGTGTATGTGGGAGCCATCGCATACCAAAGTACAGGTTTGTAACACATGAAGACATAAATTTCTTTTTTTTTTAGTCTGTATGATCAGTTTGGTTAAATAACTACAAAACGTCATGCAGACATCACAGTACCATAAATGTACGATTTTTAATATTTATTTTGGTGTTAAGCCAACATTTTACTAAGCTATTTTTCCTCCTCTGTTCTTTTCCTCCAGGACTACAGATCAAAACCTTTCTGCTGCTCTGGCTGCATTTTTTCATCCAAGTATTTCTCAGCGTACAAGAGCCACTTCCGCAATGTACACAGCGAGGACTTTGAGAACAACATTCTGCTCAACTGCCCCTACTGCACTTTCAGTGGCAACAAAAAGACACTTGAAACACACATTAAACTTTTCCACATGCCTAACAACGCCGCACGGCATGGCCCCGGGGGTCTGGTGTCCGGAGCTGGTGGGATCATGATGAAGGATGGCCTGCTGAAGAGGACCGGGGACAGTGTGGAACAGGCAGTGTACTACTGCAAGAAGTGCACCTACAGGGACCCTTTGTACAACGTGGTGCGGAAGCACATCTACCGAGAACACTTTCAGCAAGTGGCCCATCCCTATATCGTCAAACCAGGAGAGAAAACAAATGCACAGAATGGAAATGCAGAGAGTACTAATAACACGAACAATGTTAGCAGTAACCAGATTCACTGCAAGAAGTGTCTTTTTGTTCCCCGGACGTATGAGGCACTTGTTCAACACGTCATCGAAGACCACGAGAGGATTGGCTACCAGGTCACTGCGATGATTGGGCACACCAGTGTGATTGTCCCCCGACCTAAGCAAATCATTATGTTCCCTCCCAAAACTCAAGGAGACAAGACCATCATTGGGATGGGCCCTAAAGGAGCAGTGATGGCCACAACAAGGTCTCCTGCCACACAGCAGCTGAATCGGGCTATTGTTGCATCAAAAACTGGCTTTAACTCACTCAGTCTTTTAGCTGGAATAAAACACGATGCAATCGGATTAAAGGGAGCCAACCAGTCATTCTCTATAGCTAACCATCAAATTAGGGCCACACTGCCAGGGAATGCCCAGGTTTCCATGCCCCAGCAGTCACATGCAGCAAAGCAGCTTCTTTCAAGCGGTATCCTGCGGAGCCCAATTGTGGCCAGCGCGTCCTCTTCCCTCAAATCCAACCTTCTAGGTTCCCGTGTTCAGGCAGCTGCTACGACTGTAGCCTCTATCACAGCTAAGAAAGGTGGCTCCTCTGTCCTTGGCACATCCTACACCCAGAAGTGGAAGATCTGCACTATCTGCAATGAGCTCTTTCCAGAGAACGTTTACAGCTCTCATTTTGAGAAAGAGCACAAAGCAGAGAAGGTGCCTGCTGTGGCCAACTACATCATGAAAATTCACAACTTCACCAGCAAGTGTCTCTACTGCAACCGGTATCTGCCCAGCGACACGCTGTTAAACCACATGTTGATCCATGGTCTGTCTTGCCCGTATTGCCGTGCAACGTTCAATGACGTTGAGAAGATGGTGGCTCACATGCGGCTGTCGCACCCGGATGAGAGGGTAGGCCCTCACACAGACTCTCCCCTAACCTTTGACCTCACTCTGCAGCAAGGGAATCCCAAAAATGTTCAGTTGATTGTCACCACATACAACATGAGAGATGCCCCCGAGGAGTCTGTGGCATTTCATGCTCAGAACAGCTCAACAGCTGCGTCGTCAGCTCTGTCTGCTGCTTCTCTAATATCAGGTAAGAGGTTGATGCCTCAGCAGCCACCAAAAACTGCACCGGTGGTTCACGAAACTCCTCCAGTCAAAAGTGCCCCACAAGCTTCTGTGCCCTATAAGAGAGACGTAGGTAAGACACTTTGTCCTCTTTGCTTTTCCATCCTGAAGGGCCCAATCTCGGACTCACTGGCCCATCACCTGAGAGAGAGGCACCAGGTGATTCAGACTGTTCACCCCGTAGAAAAGAAACTGACCTACAAGTGCATCCACTGCTTGGGGGTTTATACAAGCAACATGACTGCCTCAACCATCACTCTGCACTTAGTTCATTGTCGAGGTGTAGGGAAGTCTCAAAATGGGCAGGATAGCCGGGTCATTCATTCTTCTCGGATCAGCCAGTCTCAGAGCGGCGCCCTCAAACGACCCAGTTTCAATATCGCTGAAACCGGTGCACCAAAACGAAGGAGGCGGGGACCCCCTGGTGAACGAGCACATCCTCGAGATATGAACGGCTCAACGTTTGAAGAAAACCCAGATGAACCAGTAGTGCTGGCTCTTGACCCCAAAGGACAGGAAAACCAGTCATATGAGACCAGGAAGGCTTTTCTGACGCAGTATTTCAATCAAGCGCCATATCCAACACAGCGAGAGGTGGAGAAGTTGGCCTCCAGTCTCTGGCTGTGGAAGTCTGATATCTCCAGCCACTTTGTCAGCACAAGGAGAAGATGTGTGCAAGAATGTGAAGCTCAGAATGCCAGCGTCCTGCTCGGTTTCAGCATGCACGAGCTCAGCAAACTACATCATGAGCTGGCGTTTCTCCAGGACGGTGTGTACGAGTGCAAGCACGAGAAACGGCGGACATCAAAGAAGCGTTTGGGAGTGTCGGAGCAGGCTCTCCAGAAACACAAGGAGCTTGTGGCCGCTAATGGTGGCGTGGCTCTGCTGCAAGGGTGGAAACCAGCAGGGACCGTGGAAGGTGCAGAAGTGGCACTATCTGTTCCTAATCCAAGCGGCGTCTGTAGAGACCAAACCAAGACAATCAGTCACACCTTCCCACGAAAAACACCTCTAGACCTTTCTGAGCCCATCGCCATCGACTCAGACAGTGATGAGGAAGAACTGCAGAAGGATGAGGAACCAGAGGGAGAGGCGCATCTCCATGGCAACCAGCAGCTTACTGGAGCTAGGAAGAGAATAGAGCCAAGGACAGACATTAAGATGGATTCAGATTTAGATGATCTGTCTGATGATGATGATGACGACGATGAAGATAATGATGATGACGATGATGATAATGATGATGACGATGATGATGACGACAACGATGATGAAGAACCGCATGTAGAGAATGGTTTTGGCACAACAGAGAGCTCAGGAAGACCAGCTGCCAAAGGAAGAGACCCTTTACCCATCATCATCCCCAAGTTTGTACCATCGTCCGCAAGAAGTGAGAGAGATGGAGCCCAGCTGGGCAAACAGCAAGTCTGACTCACAAGTCAGAAAAGACTCATTCACTCCAAAAGGCATTCAGGAGTGGCTCCACACCAACAAATCTGCCTCTCTTGAACTCGAGAACAGCTACGCAGAGCGAGGGAAGTGGTAAAAAGAGACCGGTCGAAACAAGCCATCCAGTGACGTTTTAAAACGGGCTCGGCGAGCAGCTAAAACTGGCAACAAAGGTGCAAAGACAATAAATTTACACCAAACAAAAAGTAAAAAAAAAAAAAGTTTGTTTGCCTTCGTATTCCTAATTACATGGAAATAAAGGGTCATTGCATTGATTAAGCCACCGAGCTTGTCAACGTAGCTGAAACTCCGTTGTTTTGGCGTAAACTATAATCCATCTCTTTTCTTGTAGTTCTAAGATCGGTAGTGTAAATTTGTACAGTCTTTTAAACATGTTTGGACATATGTTCATGTACATGTACCTTAAATATTTGCTATTACCACATGTGAATAGCAGCCTCATATGTTCTCCATTGCTCCGCTTAACTATAGGTGTTGCTTTTGTGGCTGTTTGTTTTTAACATAATATTTTTTGCCAAATATATAAATTAACTGTTTTTTATTATTATTTTGACAAGTTTTTTTTGTTATAATTTCATTTTGCAACAAATGGCAACACTTGTTCTGCCAGTATAAAGGATTATTTCATCTTTTTTCACCATTTGCTGGATAGCTTTGACTGTACTGTATTTGCTATTTTCACAATTTCAACTTAATGTTTCTTTGGTCTATAAGACTGGACAGTAACCAGCATACTGACATTCACAGAAGAGAAAGCTTGTTTTGTTAAAAACAAAAAAAGATGGCTGCGTTCGACAAGGGTTTTTTTAAATTGTGTGTATTTTATGTTTTTATTTCTCACCCAAGCATTTATGAACAATAAAGTGCTGTAAATGTGGTTCCCACAGAACCGGTGCTGGGCCATTTACTTGGTTTAGATTAAAGAATGGGTGGATTGTGTTCAAAATGAGTTATGGTGAGTGCCTATGCACATCAAAATTATTTTTTGTTTTTATTTTATACCTATAGCTGCTTTATACTTCCGTGTTTGTGCAATTTCTTGCATTTTCTTTAAAATCTGGGCTCGACTGCCATTTCAACACCTCGATTATTTTTATATTCAAACATTCTGCTCAATATTTGTTGCTGGGTTTGGGCTCATTTTCTTGTCAGAATTAGGTTTTAGATGAGCTTCAGCGAACACCTCCAACCTTTGGTTCAGGAAAACTTCAGTTTTTGTATTTATTGGTTTATTTATCAAATAGTGTGCACAGATACTGCATAAATGATAAAGTATTAAACTCGGCCATGTGGCTCTTTTTTTTTAAATCTGGTGTTCCAAGACGCCGTAAATACACATTTTTAGCATCAAATCAAATTTGACTAAACTATTACACAACGTGCACACACAGGTTTGTCTTGCTATCTTTACGTGGTCTTTGAATTGACTTCCATTCATTTCTATAACCCTTACACTAAACCTAACATTACCAGTACATATAGTACCATGTTTTCTGGTATATAAGTCGCAGTTTTTTGCACAGATTTGTCAGTCCTGCGAAATGCGCCAAAGTGACTTGTATACTTTTAAAAAAATTTCCATATTCATAACACAACAGCCGCGATGGATATATGGTTGGAAGGCGCTGCACTGCCCAGTGGAAGTGAAGCTGTTTTAACCATTAAATAAACGTGATGGGTCAGCAGTGACGCATAATAAATACAACTTGTATGCCAGAAAAGACATTACCCAACCCCTAACACACCAACGATGTGGACCAGGCTTTGGTCCCCACAATGTAGTATGTGTTCATAAATGGTGCTCACAAAGTAACATAAGCACATATACATTATACACACACACAACCCCCTAAACATTTCCACAAATATACATCTAAAAGCCAAATCACATTAAATATTAGAGGTAAATAACAGAAAAGTATCCATTGAAAGGAGTACATTTATAAGACCGCAGGTCAAGATGCATAAATGCTAACGGAACCAACAGATGGCAGAGTAACTTCGGTGCTGACAGACTGGGTACACTGGCTTGAAGTGAGATTTCAAATAAAAATTGTAACTATGACAGTTTGTGGTTGAGGCAATAACTACAAGTTGCCCAGGTTGTGTAGCTGCAAAGCAAGCCCAAATCATTTTACTTCCACCGCCATGTTTAGTACCTAACACTGGTTGTGCTGATATGTTTGGTCTCATCTGTTTAGAAGTCCTGTATGTTTATTATTTTATGTGGAGAGGTTTTCTCCTGATGGCCTCTAAGTTACAGGCAAAGCATGTCTTGAAGGAAAGCACATTGGCCACCACTTTTCATTTCATGCCAGACTTTTAGACTAAGATAATTTTATGATTAGAAATGACGGTGTTAGTCATCCATCCATCCATCTTCTTTACCTGCTTCCTTTTTGGGTCGCAGGGGTCACTGGTTCCCATATCCAGCAGTCACTATGTGAGAGGCGGGGGACACCCAGAGAGACAAACAACCATTCTCTCTCGTCTAGGGACAATTTAGAGTTTCCAATCAGCCTAACGTGCATGATTTTGGTCTGTGGGAGAAGACCCACACATGCACGGGGAGAACATGCAAACTCCAACCAGAAAGGCCCCCGGCCGGGATTTGAACCGGGGCTCACTGCGAGGCAGCAGTTCTACCCACTGCACCATCATGCTGCCTTGAGTTATAGTCATTTTGGATTATATTGAAAAATGGTATTGCAATATATTGTGTTGTCTTATGAGTATTTGCTTTGAACAACTATCACCAAATTCTAGCTCAGTATTTAAGAAAGTCCAAGATGTAAACATTTTAGTACAGGCGGTCTTTGAATGGGTTGAATCTAAAAGCTGTGCATGGACAGCCAATAATTACTTTCTCAGAGCGTCACTGAAATCCATCCAGTGGTTTATGTGATGTGTTTCTCACAGACAGGGTTTACTTCATTAATAAATTTGCATTAATTTCTGGAACTTTGACGTTAATTTAATGCCAAGGTTTTTGCCTTCAACGTACGTACGTGTTAGGGACGATGCCCAGATACAAACCAAACCATATTTTAGCTCGGTTTCTGTCAAATTAGCAGCGTTATAGCCATTTTTGTGTTTTCTAAAGCTGTGGCGACCGTTTAGAACTGGGTTGAGTTAAAAGGTAATCAGCTGTAGTTGTGTCCTGAACTTTTTCCAAGTCTCAATAAAATGTGTGTTTCCTGAGAGAATTCCCTAACAGCGTTGATTCCAATAGTTAATGGCAAAGTTTTAAACACACATCAAATCTAAGGGCCATCTTGGTTGCTTTCAAAAGTTAATCGGTCATAGGCAGGGGTCTGCAACCTGCGGCTCTGGAGCCACATGCGGTTCTTTGGTCCTTCTGCAGGGGCTCTTTCAAGCTTTGACCAAAACTGGCATAAAACTGAATTTTATTGGTTGTTATGCAAACAACAAAAAAAGTACTGGTTTTAGCTGTTTTCCTGTCATTTATTTTGCAAATACTTTAACATTTTGCTTTATTTCTATACTTGTTTTTTTCCACAATTAAAAAAACAACAGGTCTGCATAGTTCATAGTTGTTTTTTTAATCTAAAAAAAAAAAAATAATAATTTCCCCGCCCTTCTTTACAAGAATCTGGTCTTTTCATTTGCCTTAAATTGTAAAAATATCAATAAATGTTAAAAATCATTAGATATTTTTAGCTTTATAATGTCACCCCTACTGTCCACAAAAGTGTCCTCCAACAAACCTAAAGTGGCCCATGGGCCACCAATTGATGACCACAGTTGTTGCGGCTCTGGACCCATTTAATTTAGAGAATGAAGGTGTAAAAATGGCTCTTCAGGTCATAAAGGTTGCAGACCCCTGGTCATAGGTGTCAATGCTTACTCTCTGAAAGTCTCATGAATAGCGGTTTGCGAGATATTTTGCTAACGGTGCTGATGAACACACCGACGTGGCAAAAACATGATTGCCCATGACCAGTAATGGCGCCCTGCACCTTTAGCTTCCTGGCATCCCTTTTACAAGTTCACAATGAAGTGTTCGATAAAGCCTGTGACATTATTGTCAGAGAGACGCTTACATCGGTTAACTGACCTGGTCTGCATGTGACAAATATGGACAAGAACAAATACGTGGAAAAGCTCTGGTTAAACCCTTTCTGTGCTTGTTGCTGCTGACATCTAATGAATTAAAAGCAGATTTCATTCAGACAGATTTGAGCAGTTAAAATGAGTTACATGTAGTAAGTCCTACTTTTGTATTATAGGTCCGATGCACATATTTTCATTAAACTCTCATCACGTGGCCCTGTGGGATGAACTTAAAATGGAGGGAAATTACCCGGGCACGAGGGAGGCAAGACCCTCCTCGGCTGGCTAGTCAGTGTTGCTATGCTGCTGTAAGGAGCAGAGAGGGGGGGGGGAGAAGAAGGAAGGAGACGTGGAGGGGTAAAGGAGAGAGAGGCCTGGCAGACTGTGGGGGAGGCGGAGGCCTCATCTGCAGTGCTGTGTGCAGAAGGAGCATTTAACAGTTTTTCTAAAGGGGGGGAGAGAAAGGAAGGAAAATGGGAGTCAGGGAACATAGGGGAGGAGATGAGGAAGAGGGGAGGGAAAAGGAGGAGTGGGAGAGCGCCCCCTGTGCATGGAGGGAGGTGGAGTGTGAGATGCCAGACACAAAGGAGGGCTATCAGGACAAAAACCAGCAGGGAAACCTTACTGGTTGAACCGGGTCAGTTTAGCGTCTCTTCACCTGACCTGCCGCCTGCACCCACCTGAGTCAGGATGAGTTTGAGAGATGAAGGAGGGAAAACTAGCTGGAGGCGATTAAGTGAAGAAGAAGAAGATATTTGGGCAAAAAATTGCAATAATATTGTGGAGGCTGATAGCGCCGCCTGTGGGTTAATTATTGGGAGAGAGGGTGGAGATGATTCTTATTATTGTATGCACATAAAACTGCTGGGTCATAGGTTGGGTTGGTATGAACTCATACTGGGCCAGAACGTTCCACCTAGTGGATCATGGGTCAAAGGTGAGCTGTGTTTGTCATTAAATCAGACCTGACTGGACGTTAGGATACCAAAGTAAAGATAAGATGGTAAGGAAAGAGTAAAAAGTGCCGGGTTAAAAACAATCCAATTAGCCCAACGATGGGTCAAGTTTGGGTTGAACTGAACCCAACGTTGCTGAGTTCAAACTATCCAGGGTTAGCTCAGTCCAAATTTGATCCATTGCTATGCTACAGATTGGTTTGTTTTTAACCCAGTGGTTTTTAGTGTGTAACAGATTTCTGAATGTTTCAGTGGAACCGATGTTTGTGGGTACACATATGTTGTTTCCTCTGATTTAAAGGGTTATGTAGT